TGTCGAAGTGACACACAACGCCAGTTATGCTCGATTTGTTGCCGATTTTTGACACACCACGCCAAAAAGGTTGCCCATCACTGATCTAGGTGGATTACTGGGCTGGCAATTCCATTTTCAGCCTTTTCTTAGGATTCCCTAGCCTTTTCAATTCAACAGATCCACTCTGTTCTCCACTAGATCTGAATATTTCCTGTTTAATTATGTATTGATAGCTCTGACCCCATCAGCATGTATGGAAAGTCAAGATCTCTTCACATTTACTTCATCTGAATCAGAGTGTGGTTCAACCACTGCTCCAATTTGATTGGCACTTAATGCAGTAGTAATAATTTAATAGAGATCCTTCCTTCTGAGAGAGCATTTAATGTAAGCTTAAACTGAATTGAATTTGATTTCAATTTACTCCTGGGCATGCTGGTCACTCCAAAATCCATATCCCTCTCTGTGTTTTCTTGGCCAGTCATGATGCATCTGGGTAATTGAAGTAATAGATTTTTTTTTTGTCCCTTTGACAGTGATCAATACCTTTCTCTGAGAGGGCCCCGGAACGCCCCTGTTATAAAAGAGGCCGTCCGCTGGAAATTCACCCCTATGGGGTGGGATGCCATCCCTCAAACCTGGTATACCGGTCTGACAAACAGCCGCAACCGCGATGCCTGGTACGCCATCACTGAGCCCCTGGGCCGAGAGACCCACCACCGCTGGCAGAGGTCCGGTGCCAAACAGGAGAAGGCTCTGCCACCTGGTAAGTGTTTAAGGCAGGGGGAAACAGGCAACGATGGCAATTTTAGGAGCTGTGGACTTCAATTCCCAGAATTCCTGAGTCAGCATGGCTGGCTCAGGAATTCTGGGAACTGAAATCCACAGGTCGTAAAGTTGCCATAGTTACTCACTCCTCTCCCTCCCCCCCCCCATCTTCTTTTAGCTCACTCTGGCCAAATTGTATTATTGCTAGAATTGTTATATTATTATTTTTTATTTCACTACCTCACTGCAAATAACTCAAGGTAGCAAACATATCCAACGCATCTTCCTCCTCCTCCCCCCCACAACAACAACAACTACAACCCTGTGAGGTGGGTTGAGCTAAGAGAGAGTGATTGGCCCAAAGGCACCCAGTTGTCTTTCATAGCTGAAATGGGACTTGAACTCGCTCCACTGCTTTCTAACTTTAGCCCTAGCCATAAGCACTAGACCAGTGTTTCTCAACCTTGGCAACTTGAAGATGTCCGGACTTCAACTCCCAGAATTCCCCAGCCAGTGAATGCTGGCTGGGGAATT